CTAAGCGACTTCTTTTCCAACTTTCGACTTAGCGGGGCTTTTTGTCTCTTTCTTTCATCATTTTCAAACATTTTTCTTTTTTGAACAAGTCGTGTAACTTCGAGTCGTTTTCGACCTGATAGAGGTAATTGTGACTACCTGAGTCTTTGGTATACGAGGGATAACTATTGTTATATCGTCATCTGTTATCCTCTTGACGTGCGAGAGATATCCATTGGGATATCGTTCTCCTTGATGAACGCTGCTAAAAGATGAGAGTTAACCATTGCGGTTTTGACTTTCCTCAGCCTTTTAATGGATAACCATTGTTGTATCCTTAGATGCACACTTCTAATGAGTTTTGAACGCTCGATCGGATCAACTAAAATCTACCCTGCCCCGGGTTAAATGTGTGGGTTTTTCTGAAAAGAAAATAAACTCCTACTTCAAGTCTCAAAGGGGTTAATGAGGGTCTATCTCCCTTATATCTCTGGTGTTTAGGAATTGAAACAATGCATGGACATCGTCAGCAAGTTTTTTCATTCAAAAGCACACCGTTTGAAATTTTTTGTATATTACTCATCATCCTCCCTCCCGAGGTTTTTTTGCTTTATTTACAAGAGTTAAGTGTCGAAAAGCAAAGAAAAACATTAATGATTGAATACGAATGGATTAATTCAAGATAAACATACTCAATCCATTGTGATTAATATTAAAAAATCAGCAAGTTTTGCATACAAGAAAGTACTGAACCAAAACAAGAAAGATTACAAATGAGAATTGAAAATGATACTAGAAATCACCATGTTGAGGAGACTAGTATCCGTATGGACTTGTTGCTTGAAACGATGATTTGGCAGCATTGACATTTACTGAGACAAAAGAGACCTCAAATCTGACTGGATGACCCGAAATTGATAGCCTTTGCATCAAGCAGGTCTTGCACATTTTTTTTGAAAGCCCAACAGTCTTCAATGGAATGACCTAGTGCCCCAGCGTGGTAGTCGACGCACATTAGGATCAAAATCGACAACATAAGGAGGAATAACATGATTTAATGGCTTGGGTTCAACCAAAGAAAGATTGAGAAACTGAGAGAACAACTGGCCATAAGTCACGAGAACAATGTCGAACACCCTCTTTGGATTCTTATCCCTTTGTTTATCTTGTTGAATACATCTCTGTTGATAGGTTTGCTGCTGAGTAGCACACCGAACTGGATGAACATGAGGAACATTCTGATTTTGATTAACCAACTGATTTCCATAACTTGTAAACGGTTGTTGGTGAGAACTATCTGAGAGTATAGGTTGTGGAAGGTGTGACTCAGATCGTGAGATTTAACTTTGAAGAGGAGAAGGCATAACCTTATTCTTTGTAACAGTTGGCATTGGATTGACTTGCACGCTCAGACCTTCGGGAGTGAAGAGAATTATCTTTGCATCAAACAAATCTTGGAATTGGTGCTTAAAAGATATGCAATCTTCAGTATCATGACCAGGTTCCCCAAAGTGGAATTCACACCTAGCATTGTCGTCAAAGCCACGAGGGAGCCTTTCATGTGTAGTGAAGATTCAGAGTTTAACCAAATGAAATTCTAGCAGGTGAGGAAGCAATTGTGCATACAACATTGGAATAGGATCAAAATATCGTTCAGGCTATTTTGGCCACTGCTGATGAATTTTGCCCTTTGGGTCATCTTGGGAAATGACAGCTGGTTGCGGATGGGAAGTTCCTAGAACACACGGTTGTGGAGGAGATACTCCATGACTTGAAGGGGTCCCCATATTATAGGGAGGAATGGTAACTCCTATTGCAGCAGGCATAGAACCATCTTCTTTCTTCAACATTGTCCCCAAAATTTCCATAACCAAACTCAATTGAGCCCTCAATTGAGTGTTCTCTTATTTCAAGAGTTCTTCTCCATAAACAAAATCCTGCATGTCTAGCATCAAAAATCCCATATGTTCTTTAATCTCATCCAATTCTCCATGAAGTTGTTCCATAACTTGAATTTGATCACGGAGCAGCGAGAATTCAAGATCTGCAGTTCTGAAAAGAAAATACTGATTCTGAATAAGGATTCCCCATTCTGAGTACCTGCTATGGATGCATGAAGATTCATGAAGATGCATGAGGTGAGTGAGCGGATGCAATGCCATGTTCAAACTTTTTTTTTGCATACAATCTTTAACATTTCCTTTTTTTTGTATAATAAACATGCTATGATGCAAGGTGCAATAACATAGGTTCAAAAGTTCAGCATAACAACTGTACAATCCTCTGGATAACTGTTGTATTAATCTGTTGAATAATTCAGATATCACAGGGTCAAAGGTTTGGCACCTATTTTAGAACACAATGGAACCGAGTGTCCTGAATAACCTTTGTATAATCTCTAGACAAGATAAATATATCAGGATCAAAGGTCCAGAACATAACCAAATAACCATAGTCACCAACAGACCAACGGTCACCATCATAACATAGTCACCATCTATACCTGTAATATCAAGTCCCTCCCCACTCACGGGTCAAGACTAATTCTAGGTAAAGCCAATGGTAACTCAAAATCACCGGTTCGCTTGAGAGTACTATCATCGTACACCTACATGATAATGATAGCAACTCATTAAAACCTCATCTGAGCATGGGTGACACAACCATCTAGGGTAATCTACATCCCCTATCCATCATGTTCCACTCTATTCCTAGTGTTCCTATTGTTTGTCACTTGGGCTGGGTATTGGGCCTTTTACCTCATAGTAACACCCATCCAACAAAGAAACACGGAAACCAACACAGCAGTAGTATATGGAAAACAATAAAGATGCAATGCAAACATATGCTCAGATAAACATGTACAAATGAATAAACTGAAAGCATAAAAATAAACACCCAAAGAGAAGAAAGCAAGAGCTAGGATTGACTCCGGGATGGACCAGAAATAGGTCAATCTGTCCCCAGTGAAGTCGCCATCTGAAACAACCGGCTAAACAATCAACTGATAATGAAATCAATGAAGTCTCCGTCGAACATTTTTTATCCCACAAGAGGGGAAAGGTAAACATCGAGTAAACCTGAGAAGGGTGAAAATCAAGTTTGAACGACCAAGAGATATGGTTAAGAGAGTCTGTTACGCGAGGGGAAGGTATTAGCACCCCACACGCGCGTAGTACTCTATGGTATCCACTTTTGTTCTTCTAATCAAAGGGTGTGTTTAATCTATGCTTATTGTTTACTACTAAGGAAGAATGCATGCAAAAAGAAAGAGAAAAGAATGTAGGGAAAATATAAGTTATGCTCATTCGGGCCCTACCCCAATGCCTACGTATCCCTTTTAAGGAATCAGAGCAGCTGTAGTTTGGATCACATGTTTTTATTGGTTTGTATTTTTTTAATGAATATTAATTTCGCTTTCTGCCACAGCTCGACCCTTGGAGACTCACGTGTCAGCACATAAGTGAATTAACATCTTCTTTCTGAAAAGTTTGAAAGAAAAGCCCGAAGGCGCAAAAGAGTTTGCATTGGTTGATAGCTTTTGCTGCAGATAACAGCTAGTTAATCTCAAGAGAGAGATATTATCCATTTCTCTACTTATTTATGAAATGAGTCTTTGAGACTTGAACCACACCAAGGCTTAGAATGGAAAAAAATAAGATCGAGAAGAGACCCGCTTATCATTTCCCATGCTCAACAAAGGTATGACTGTCATCAGTAATCTTTAAGTGTTTTTAAGTTTGCAAGAAAAAGAAGTCTTTGTTTTAATGCAAATGCAAAAGAAAGAAAAACATCTAAGGGAGACTAGCCTAAATCTATCCCTAAGGTTATCATGCAATTGTGGTTCTATGGTTGAGTTTTAAAGGGAAGTCTCTACCCTATGTTGACATGCATGGATAACAATCCTAATGTCTATCTTAATTCATCATCTATAGATGAATCAAGAAGTCCTAAAGGAGCATAGCCAGGGTCTATCACCTAAAACTATGTTTATCTCGAATCATCATCTATAGTTTAATCGAGAGCTCCTAAGGGAACATGCCGAGGGTATATCATCTCAAAACATGCACACAAAGACGAAATCAAGCAAGCAAGCCAATAAGCTCAAGAGAGATTGCTCAAGCGAGCACAACTAGAGAGATCCTACCTAGGCTAGCATACCAAAGAAAGTCTAACAAAACTATCCTATGGGGAACATGAAATGAGAGCGAAATCGTGATATCAATTTCTAAATTGAGTGACTCATCAATCAACAAGAAATAAAGGAAAGAAACAAAATCCTATAGGGAGCATGAACTAAGAGCGAAGTCGTGATCTCAATTTCTAAATTGAGTGACTCATCAATAAACAACAAAGGAAACAAACACAAGCACAACACATATAGCAAATGAAGTGCGGAATGGCTGCTATAGGTCTTTAAACAGCGACTTCGAATGCACGCTCTTTATTTCCTACTTCTCATGATATCTATAAAAAAATAGTAAAGTACCGAAATGAGATAAATAAGTAAAAATACCAAACGGATATCAACCCGTAGCAAATCCTATCAACATAAAGAAACCCGATGATCTTCGCGAAGCTTCACCAATCAAAGAAAGGAGTTAGAAATCAAATGCTCGGAATAAGTACCGACACATCATCGATGTGAAAATAAATCACAATCGAGATCTCAAGCGTATCTGCATATCGTACAATAAACCCGCATAAGACTCAAATCTCATCAAACAAAGGTGAATTACCAATCTCAAATATAATCGGATAATAGGGATTTGATTCCTAAAATCACATAAAAACTAACAAATTTTTTATACTTGACTTTATTATTTTTATCATGTAAAAGAAAACTTCAATCAAATCCAAACAATTCATAGAATTATTTGAAAGAAAATACTAAGAATAAATCAGGGGGTGCAAGCCAATAAGCAGGAGACGTCTCCAGCAAAATGTAAGCCCAATCCAAAAATAAGTCCAACAAGAAATGATTTTTGTCCACAAGTTTCAGATTGCCAAAAACTATAGAAATGGGCTCAGAGACTTTTGGTCTAGCAAGAGTTATTTTCAAGCATTTTGTTTTTTGTAAATTGGCTCCCAATACAAAAAATCCAATGGTAGCGTGGGCCTAAGTGTAATCCAGCAAAATTGGCCAAGTCCAATTACACAAAATCTAAGATTATTTAGCTTATCAATTATTCCCAATTAAAAAATAACAACAAATGAAAAAGATCAACTAAAAGGCAAAACGGCATCGTTTTGATCTAGATTGTGGCCATTCAACTTCATTGTACTCAACCTCCTTTATTCTCATCTTTGTTATTTCTCGTGATTCTCGGCGAGCCAACACCGCCATCACCAATCTCTCCATATTAACTCTCTCAACACGAATCCAACATTCGTCTCCACCAATTTCAATTCACTCGTTCTAAATCTACCAGAAACACATAAACCCTAAGTCTCTGGGAATGAAAATTAAATGAAGATGAAGGGACTTCTGGCTATGCCTCCATAGGGTTATTAATCTACCTAATCTTCTCTACGTATTCATATCAAGAAACCACAAGAAAGACGAAGAAAAGTGAGAATTCAGATCTTACCGGTCGGAGACGCTACGACGGTGTTTCCTGATTGCTGCTTATTGAAATAGGAATCTAGAGATCCTTCAACAGACAGATTGGGTAAAATCTTCTCTTCTGATATCTTTCTTTTTCTTCTTCTTCTTCGTTTGTTTCTTCTTGTTGCTCTACGAGTTTTCTGTGTGCGTTAGTGTTGATCTGAGCTGAGAGAAAGAAGCGTATGGTTGTTATGGAAAGAGCTTCTGATAATGTTGCAGAGTGATGTTCATAGAACAATGAAGATGAACGTTGTCATGGCTTTGGAGGTTTAGCTCCACTGTCAAAAGCTTCCAATGGAGAAACTCTTGCAGCGATGATTCAGAGATGCATATGGTAAGGGTTCGGGTTCTGAGAGGAGAGTGAGATGAAGAAGATGAATGGTGATGGATGATTTAGAGGTGAAGATGAGCTATGGTGTGTAGTGAGGTGAGGTTAGGGATAGAGGAAACAAGATAGAGAATTGAGATTTTCATAAGAAAATGGAGAATGAATGAAGGAGAAAGATGGAGAAATGGTGGTTCAGAATGGAGTGTGGTTCGTAAGAATGATGAGGAAGAAAAACTAGCAGAGGAGTCGTGGTTGAATAATGATGAGAAGATGAAGCTGAAGATGAAACTTGAAGCGAATCAAGCGTGAATGATATTGAAGCAAATAGAAAAATGGATGACAGTTTTTGAAGATTGAAGCAGAGAGAATTTTCAAATATTTTTGGTGATTCTTCTAGTAATTCAAGAATGATGATGAAGATGGAGAGTAAAGAAGTTGTCGAAGAATTGGTGAATTATTTTATGGATTTGATGTGGAGAATTGAAGAGTGCAGAGATTGAATAATGATAGATGGAAGAAGAGATGAGAATAAAGAGTTTTTTCTAGTTTTTTGCTATTCTGCAGAATCAATCCCCCTTGAATTAGTGAGTTTGCTTCTGTCTTATACTTCTGTTAGAACTGAAAATTAGTTAGGAAACGAATTCAATCCCGGCCATTGGTTGCCGAATTTCTGTTAGAGACCTGGATTGCTGGGATCTATTAGCAGCATAGTTTTGGGAGGTTAAAAAAATATGTTAGGAAGTTAGTTAGGTTTTTTGTTTTGATTCAGTTATTTTAGGCTAGTTTTGAATTATGTTGGTTCTGTTAGAGGTTAGGGTCGGCTGGTAGTTAGGAGATTAGTTTGTGAAATTGGTTATAGGTAGTTAGTTATGGTTCAGTTTGAGGGTTGAATCCTGTTAGAGTGAAAAATTGTTACAAGTTGTTAGCTGTTAGTCAGAAACGGTTAGGACCAGCTCAGCTGAATGTTAATAGACTACTGTTAAAACAAAAATAAGTACAGCAAAAACTATTAGTAGTTAGACCATGAGGAAGCCAGCATTCTCTATTAGCACAAGTAACTAAAAAAGTTAGCTTAGAAAACAAAGATGTTATTTAAAACTATTTAGAAATTTTTGTTATGCTGTTAGGAAAAGTTAGTTGCAGATCTTTTGAAGTACTGTTTGATGGTTAGAAAATCAGCTGGAAGTTAGTTACTAATTGTTTAAAGTTTGGTTAAAGAATTTTTGTTTGTCAATTGTTAGTTAGAAACGGTTAGCCAGTTAGAAGCTGGTTGCAGTTTGTTATGTATCGTGACATTTTGTTGTGAATGTTAGCCGAAGTTGGTAGAAAGATATGGCCTTTTATTCAATATTAGCAAAACTGATTGACTGGTTTAATGCTGAGAGGAACGGTTTTCTTTGTGTGAAATTATCTTGAAACATTACTCTGAATTTCTGTTTTGGTTTGAAAACATTCTTTCTGATTTTATTAATGCAGGCTGCAGGTTTGTGTGGTTTTGTTTTGGTATGTGTGGACTAGCTCACATTTTGGCATCAAGGCATAATGCACTTGAAGCATGGTTTGTATTAAGTCAAGAAAAAGGGAGAGGATAGCATGAAAGGTCTGGATGTAGTGTAAGGAATTTAGGCATGGTTCAAACAGGTCATGAAGTCCATGGTAAAAGATGAAGATGGAAGATAAAGCTTAGGATACATTTTCTTGTAACTAATTAAATGCCCTTTTTTTGTAAAAGTTTCTTTGGACCTTCGTAACTTTTTTTGTAATCTTGAAATGGCACGTACTGTAACATAATGAATCGTGACTAAAAGACGCTTGAACGATTGAACTTGAGTAATTTGAATAATTTGAATGACCATGGGTGGGAATAGTTCTAACTTGTTCTTTTGTAATAGAATTTTGATTCCTTTTGTAAATTCGTAACATTTCTCCCTTGTAGCCCCGGTAGTAATTGTGCGACTTGTATCTTGAAAACTTATACTGCATCTGCTTGTGGTTTGTAGAAAATTTATTCCTTTTGTGTCTTTTGAGAATTATGTAGTCAAAGCAGAAGGTTGAATGAGATGTAACTAGTAGAACTTGAATACGTTGAAACTTGCTACAATTAAAATTTTCATGTCTATTATTTATGAGATTTCGCAAGATGGATCCTCTTAAACCATGATTCAACAAAACCTGAATTGGTTAATTGAAGAGTGGATGAATGCCATGTCATAGTCATTAAGCCTGATCAAATGATAAGCACACTTATATGAGGAGACGTCTTGATTCAAAGACCATGTATGCTAGGTCACGCCCTTGAGTTCTTGACAAGAAAAACCTGCAACCTGTTGTTCAGCAGAAGATAATAGCCTTGTAGCTTGATGGAGAAGAAGTCCAAAAAATGAGCATGAACTAAAACCCTAATTCCACAGTCTTGTACACCAAGAAAAACCATAATAATCAACATATACCCCTCCAATTAGCTGTAAACCTTAGCTTCATAACTACTGATCTTTTAAACCTCAAGTGCTCTATTTTTTATGAAAAGGAATTCTATACACATGACCTATTGGAATGATATAGATGAATGGAAAGTCTAAGCCAGGATAAGAGAAATTAGGCGGGAAAATTTTGGGGTGCAACAATTAGCAGAAAAGTTATCGAAGAGGTACAAAGAAAGGCTGCTGAAAGCCTAAACAAGAGAGCCACTGAAGGCTCAAATAAAGGAACTACTGAAGGTTCCTACTTGGCTGCTGTCACAGGTTCGACATAAATCCTAGAGAATAAGATGCAGAAGCTAAGTGTAGTTGGTAAGAGCAACGTGGGAATAAATATGGTTGAAGTGTCTAAACCTAAAGCTGCAGATTCAGAAGACAACATCAGACAAGAGGAAATCAACAAGCTTTCATTTCCTATGGAAAATGAAAATATGTTAGATTTTCTACACAGATGCCAGAAAATGAAGTCAGAAGTTATGATGTTTCCAAGATGCAGTTCTACCTTCGACAAAAGTTGTTGAGCACATACAAGGTGTGCGTGTAGAAAGAAAAAATGGGGCAACATTTCCCAGCCTAACATGGATCCTAAAGTAAGGTACGACCCTAGAAGGGGATACCAAAAGGGGCCAGTAAACCAGATGAGTAGGCCATCAACCTTCAAGCCTCCAACAAATGTACCTGTGGATACTTGGTTGAAGGCAGCGAATAGAAAAAGGCCCAACGAGGGAAAATGGCAGATGTTCGATATGCCAAAAGGATCCTCTTTGGCCTACAGAAAGGAATTTTAGTCAACAACAACAAATAGGGTTGCTCACGTGTCGAACAATTACAAAGGAAAGAACCTTATGAACCGCTCCCAATGGAGAAGGTATCAGAGACGGCAAAAGGACGAAAGAGAGGCTGCAGAAAAGCCCCAACCAGAAACCAGCACTAATGTGCTAGAAAGAAAAGAAAAGGCTAAACCAAGAATTCCTTTGGAGAAAAAGCCAATTGCTAGAAGGCTAGTATGGCCTGAACAAGATGAATCGGAGGAAGAATCTGATTTTGGGTCTGATGCTACATTAGACATCATGGTAAATGTGGTGTCTGTGTTGCCCAGAGAATACGACCAATGGGTCGAAGTCAAAGAGACCGAGTGGGAGGTCGAACAAGAAATGGCCAAGCATAGGCCAGTATGCTACTATGTTATGAACAATGGATGTGTAGAAGAGAAAAATACCTTCTTCGAGCGTCCCACTGAGGCAATGAGGAATCACCTCAGATCCTTGTTCATAAGGGAAAAAATAGGGGAGGCGACCATCAACAAAGTCTTGGTTGATTGTGGAGCCACAGTTAACATAATCCCTCAATGTATACTGAGAAAGCTGGGTAAGGGAGATGAAGACATCAAGCCCCATAACGTGGTTTTATCAAACTATGAAGGTGGAATTGGGACCACCATGGGAGTAATCCAATTGGACCACAAAGTGGGGACCATAGTTCGACCGACAATGTTTATGGTCATCTCAGCAAAACCCAACTACAATTTGCTCCTAGGCAGGGAGTGGATCCATGGCATCAGCGTGTAACAATATGGCCCCTTGACGGCATACTAGAAAACATTGAAGCTGACCAGAGTTAATATATGGTCAAAGTCAACAATGTTGATAGAACAAGCTTCGACAGAAATTTGGCCCACATAGGGCCATGTAATCCTCCAGACTTCGACTTGGCGCCAACATCCAACACTTTCTGCTTCCTATACCTACACTCAGATCATGGATTCCAATGGGATAGGGAGGATTTGTCAAACATTGATTTCGGAGTGATTGATGATATACGGAGAATAAGATGGGGAAGTGATTTCAGTGACCATGACTGAGTCACAAGCATTATAGAGGATTTCGGCATGTGTGGACGAAAACAGAATGATAGCGGCCTTAGAGGCTGAAGTGAAGTATATAGTTATCAAAGCCAATGAGCAAGTGCCACTTCCAGAAGGCCCAGGGAAATATTTCAACCCAGAACCACCTGACTCAAGAGAGGAGGAAGTGCAAGGCCAAAGGCTAGATGCCATCTACGATGATGAACCTTTGGGTTTCAAGAAGAATCCACTGGCAAGCAATATTAAAATGGTAGCGCAATATACTCTTGAAGAGATAGACTTGGGCGAACGAATGGTGAAGAGACTAACATATATCAGTGCAAAGATAGATCCAGAGCTTAGATTCAAAGTAATCCAATTGCTGAAGGAGTTTAAAGACTGCTTTGCATGGGATTATGACGAAATTCCTGGTCTCGACAGAGGATTGGTGGAGCTTCAACTACCAATAAATCCTGGGAAAAATCCTATCAAGCAAACTCCAAGGCGTTTTGCACCAGAGATCTTGTCGAAGATCAAGACAGAATTCGAAAGACTGCTGAAATGCAAGTTCATCTGAACAACCAGGTATGTCTAATTGATTACAAATATAGTACATGTCATAAAGAAAAATGGCACATTAAGGGTGTGCATTGATTTTAGAGATCTAAATGCTGCAACACCCAAGGATGAATATCCAATCCATGTGGCAGAAATGCTTGTTTATTCTGCCGCTGGATTCGAGTACATGAGTATGCTTGGTGGATACTTTGGGTACAATCATATTTTCATTGCTGAAGAAGATGTGTCGAAAACAACATTTCCATACCCTGGGGCTTTAGGCACTTACGAATGGGTAGTAATGCCTTTTGGCCTAAAAATGCAGGGGTAACATATCAAAGAGCAATGAATTCTATCTTCCATGATTTTATTGAAACTTTCATGCAGATTTATATTGATGATATTGTTGTCAAATCTGTTTCAGAGAAGAATCATTTAGACCATCTTCGACAATCCTTTGAAAGGATGAGAAGCTATGGTCTGAAGATGAATCCCCTAAAGTGCACTTTCTGAGTAAAGGAAAGGGACTTCTTAGGCTTTGTGGTCCACAAAAAAGAAATCGAAATAAACCAGAACAAGACCAAGGCCATTTTGGAGGCGAAAGCGCCAACAAACAAGAAGGAATTGCAATCTCTACTTGGCAATATGAATTTCTTGAGGATATTTATATCCAACCTAAGTGGAAAAACGCAAGCCTTCTCACCCTTACTTTGAATCAACAAAGGAGGAATTAAATGGGGGCAAGAACAACAAGAGGCCATCGACAAAATCAAAGGATACCTCACCAAGCCACCTATTCTGGTGCCTCCTTGTAGAAATAGGAGTATGAGATTGTACATAGCTGCTTCTGATAGAACTTTAGGGAGCATGTTGGCTCAAGAAGATGAGAATGGTGTCGAAAGGCCCATGTACTACCTCAGTAGAATTTTAAATGACACAGAAACTAGATATAGAGAAGTTGAAAAACTATGTTTATGTCTTTACTTATCATGTACAAAACTCAAGAAATATATTAAACCAGTTGATGTTTATGTTTCGTCTCATTTTGATGTTTTCAAATATATGTTTTCGAAACCCATCTTGCACAGCCGAATTGGAAAATGGGCACTTACATTAACAGAGTATTCACTAACCTTTATTCTTCTCAAGGCTGTAAAAGTACAAGTGGTAGAAGACTTTATAGTCGACCACTCAATAAATGAAGAATCCTTAAATTACTTGGAGATTGAACCCTGGAAGTTATACTTTGACGTTTCCAGTCATAAAGATGGAACTGGAGTGGAATTCTAATTATTTCTCCAAATAAAATTCCATCAAAATTCAAGTACAAGATCGAAGGTTCTTGTTCGAACAATGAGGCTGAGTATGAAGCTTTAATTGTTGGCCCTGAAATCTTGTTGGAATTGGGGGCAACTGGAGTCGAAATAATAGGAGACTCAGAGTTAGTCATAAGGCAAGTTACAAAATAATACAAATGTATAAGAGAAAAATCTGATCATGTATTTTGTAATAGCCAATCGCTTGTTGAAAAAATTCGAATTGATCAATATTCGACATATACCAAGATTAGAAAATCAAGTGGCTAATGATTTAGCACAAATCACATCTGGGTATAAAATTTCAAAAGAAAAATTGCAATAAGCGATCGAAGTTAGAGGAAGGGTAGTATCAACCAAGCTATCTCCAACAGATTTGGAAACAATAAAGTTGGGGTACGCTGACCAAGAAAACTTTGAGATTTCATTCATAGACAGTGTAACAGAGCAAGATTGGAGAAAGCCTATAGTAGATTATTTGTAAAGTCCAAAAACTTCGACAGAAAGAAATACAAAGTATAGGGTGTTGAGTTATATTCTAATGGGAAATGAGTTATTCAAGAAGACGCCTGAAGGAGTACTACTAAAATGCCTAATTGAAACAAAGGCATATATAGCCCTTTCGACTACACATGCTAGAGCATGTGGAGCACAACAAGTAGGCCATAAAATGAAATGGTTATTGTTTCGACAAGGATTATATTAGCCTATTATGTTGAAAGATTGTGTTGAGTTTGCAAAAGGCTGCCAAGAATGCCAAGTACATACAGGCATCCAGCATGTACC